TTTAATTAAGTTAACTGAATTCATTATTCAATTCATTCAAATTCATTCAATTCATTCAATTCATTCAATTCATTCAATTCATTCAATTCATTCAATTCATTCAATTCATTCAATTCATTCAATTCATTCAATTCATTCAATTCATTCAATTCATTCAATTCATTCAATTCATTCGATTCATTCAATTCATTCAATTCATTCAGTTCATTCAATTCATTCAATTCATTCAATTCATTCAACTCATTCAACTCATTCAACTCATTCAATTCATTCAATTCATTCAATTCATTCAATTCATTCAATTCATTCAATTCATTCAATTCATTCAATTCATTCAAATCATTCAATTCAGTCAATTCGTTCAATTCATTCAATTCATTCAATTCATTCAATTCGTTCAATTCATTAAGTTCATTAAGTTCATAGGGTTCATGAAGTTCATGAAGTTCATGAAGTTCTTGAAGTTCATGAAGTTCAGGAAGTTCAGGAAGTTCAGGAAGTTCAGGAAGTTCAGGAAGTTCAGGAAGTTCAGGAAGTTCATGAAGCTCATGAAGTTCTTGAAGTTCATGAAGTTCAGGAAGTTCAGGAAGTTCAGGAAGTTCAGGAAGTTCAGGAAGCTCATGAAGCTCATGAAGCTCATGAAGTTCATGAAGTTCATTAAGTTCATTAAGTTCATTAAGTTCATTAAGTTCATTAAGTTCATTAAGTTCAATAAATTCATTAAGTTCATTAAACTCATACTGGTTTTTAAGCTTCTTAATGTCCAGAACAGCAAGATGCTAGATTTTCCAGCATTTTGGCAGCGTTGACTGTAGCGGCGATTGTAGATTATATCAGCTTCCAGTTTCTGTAGGTGCGCAAAAGGGTGGGCACGCGCTATATCAGGTTCCAGTTACTGTAGGTGCGCAAAAGATGCAAAAGCACTTCTGCCCTTCGGTCCCTTCGGCGAGTGTTGCCGGGAATGTTCTACGAGCGTGAGTGATTAGCCATGACTTCACTTTAACTTTGCTGGGATGCAGTTGTGCACTCCCAAGGTGCCTTAAATACGTGCAAAATCACAGTCAACACCCAGGCAACACTCAGTCAACACTACACTCAACACTACAGTCAACACCTTTGCGAAAACCCTGGGAAAACCTGCAGATTCCACAATTCACTCTTTGTCAAGGAATATAAAAAAATATATATATATATGTATATACATATATATATATACCTTTGTACATTTTTTTGGCTTTTTGGTCCAAAACAGCCAAATGCTGGATTTTCCAACGCCTTGGCAGTGTTGACTGTAGTGTTGATTGAGTGTTGACTGTCATTTTGCCCGCGTTTGCTGCATTTACAGGCAGTACTGGTTCTCAGCTTCTTAATGTCCAGAACAGCAAGACGCTAGATTTCCCAGCATTTTGGCAGCGTTGACTGTAGCGGCGATTGTAGATCGTGTCAGCTTCCAGTTTCTGTAGGTGCGCAAAAGGGTGGGCACGCGCTATATCAGCTTCCAGTTACTGTAGGTGCGCAAAAGATGCAAAAGCACTTCTACCCTTCGGTCCTTTCGGCGAGTGTTGCGGGGAATGTTCTACGAGCGTGAGTGATTAGCCATGACTTCACTTTAACTTTGCTGGGATGCAGTTGTGCACTCCCAAGGTGCCTTAAATACGTGCAAAATCACAGTCAACACCCAGGCAACACTCAGTCAACACTACACTCAACACTACAGTCAACACCCTTGCGAAAACCCTGGGAAAACCTGCAGATTCCACAATTCACTCTTTGTCAAGGAATATAAAAAAATATATATATATGTGTATATACATATATATATATATATACCTTTGTACATTTTTTTGGCTTTTTGGTCCAAAACAGCCAAATGCTGGATTTTCCAACGCCTTGGCAGTGTTGACTGTAGTGTTGACTCTAGTGTTGATTGAGTGTTGACTGTCATTTTGCCCGCGTTTGCTGCATTTACAGGCAGTACTGGTTCTCAGCTTCTTAATGTCCAGAACAGCAAGACGCTAGATTTTCCAGCATTTTGGCAGCGTTGACTGTAGCGGCGATTGTAGATCGTGTCAGCTTCCAGTTTCTGTAGGTGCGCAAAAGGGTGGGCACGCGCTATATCAGCTTCCAGTTACTGTAGGTGCGCAAAAGATGCAAAAGCACTTCTACCCTTCGGTCCTTTCGGCGAGTGTTGCGTGGAATGTTCTACGAGCGTGAGTGATTAGCCATGACTTCACTTTAACTTTGCTGGGATGCAGTTGTGCACTCCCAAGGTGCCTTAAATCCGTGCAAAATTACAGTCAACACCCTGGCAACACTCAGTCAACACTACACTCAACACTGCAGTCAACACCTTGCGAAAACCCTGGGAGAACCTGCAGATTCCACAACTCACTCTTTTAAAGGAAAATCAATATATATATATATACTCTTTTTTTGTTTTTTGTTTAAGCTTCTTAATGTCCAGAACAGCAAAATACTGGATTTTCCAGCGTTTTGGCAGCGTTGACTTTTGGCAGTGTTGACTGTAATGTTGACTGTAGTGTTCACTGAGTGTTGACTGGAGTCTTGACTGAGTGTTGACTGTCATTTTGCATGCGTTTGCTGCATTTACAGCTTCTTAATGTCCAAAACAGCAAAATGCTAGATTTTCCAGCATTTTGTCAGCTTCCAGTTTCTGTAGGTGTGCAAAAGGGTGGGCACGCGCTAGATCAGCTTCCAGTTACTGTAGGTGCGCAAAAGATGCAAAAGCTTCTGCCCTTCGGTGGATGGACGAAATCTTTACATGCGTACTTCAAACGATTGAGGCATCAAGCCCCGCGCCCCCTGCTTAACATTGGCGGCTAGGACTGCTTGAGCGGTGCAAGATTTCGGCCATTGGAGCAAATCCGGCCGGTACAGCCAATGTTAAAAAGGGGGCACGGGAACACAAAAAAGATGTTTCTGAAAAGCGGTGCAAGATTTTGTCCATCCACAGTATGTCTCCATATCTCCACAGGAACACCTCTCAATAGAAAATTGTTTATGCATCGAAATGTCATTAGAAGGAAACTATATTTCTTCTATGTTTGCATGAAAACCCTCTATGCTCTATGTTTATAGGAAAACCTCTTATACAAAAACAAACATACACATATCTTATTGTATATGTGTATGTATATATGTATATATTGCACAACACCCTTGCCGCGATGCTGTTTTGTATTCGGGACGCGTCTAGCCGAGAAAAACAAACATTCTGTTCAGGACGCGGCTGGCCGAGCAAAAGAAGGAGCAAAAATCAACACACGTTCCCACTATAACCATTGATATTACAATACTGCTGGTTGACTTGACGGCTTCAGGATCACATGTATTAATGTAGCGGTGGCGCTGACACTTGAAGCTGCCATCCGAGTTCTCCAAGCCGAAGATAGTCTAGAAAAAGCGGCCAACAATCATCAGATAAGGAAGCCCCCGTAGTCACGTAGTCTGCAAATGCCATTTTCTTGACCACTTCCAGCTGACCAGCGTCTCTATTGAAGAAAAGCCATGTTACAGCTCTGCCAACTGTCGGGCCGCCCGTAACATGTAATTACGGTCTAAAACATGAAGCGCCTGGTAATCATACTCCCACATGGCGGCTGAAAGCAGCATCGTGCCCTCTGCACGAGCCCACACAGCTGTGTGACCTGATGGCTCGTTTGCACAGGCTCATGCGGAATGGACCGGCGACGAGCCAGAAATCTACGAACACTTCAACCGAAGCATTTCAACCTAGACAGCACCAGCATCGAACATGAGGACCCTCAACAAGTGCGCAAAGCCTTCAACACCCGACTGTTCAGAGCTTGATTGCTTGAGGGTTTGAAGGTTCTAGGCGGGTTTGCTTGGCGCAGGCCATGCCCGCCCCCCCGCAGCGAGGGTCAGAAGAAAGGACCAGTACAGCAGAAACCGCAGTTCCTGCAAAGCGCATCCGTGCGAGGGGCAACATTTCTGGCATGCACACGCACACGCTTTGACTCACACCTTTATGAGCTGTTCGCACGATGTATCGGTGAGCTGCCCGGCCTGGTACTAAGTTGGTGCAGTTTCGCACTTCCTCAAGGTGTTCAATTCCAAGGTTCAGCACTTCAAGCGATGGTTCAAGTCCATAACCAGTCGCCAATCCTAGAAGGTCCGCCCACAAGGACCTTAAAAGGTGTTTCAAAACGCTCACCCTTTGCGGACATGCTCTTGCCGCTTTTTGCTCAACGCAGGATGATGGATGCATCACAGCGGTGAGATGAGACTGCGTAGAGAGTTGCAAGCAAAGCATTGCGCAGAAACCCTGAGCGCGAAACGTTTGTAAAAGTGACAGTTTTGCACTTCTGGGCAAACATGTCGCGCCTCATGGACATCTGAAGCATAGCGCATATGCTGCATAGCCATGTAGCAGAACTACCCGCGCCATCAACTGGAAGATGAAAAGGCACTCGGTGCCATGGACGTCCATGGTACTGAGACTAATCTAGTTTCCAATAACCTTTTGGTTACCTACAGGACGACTAAGCTACAATATATCGAGCTATTCCTAGGTTAAACCGCGGAAGCGCAACCTGCCACCATCGGAATCGAAATGCAGGGGCAGGCGCCGGTCGGCCACGGGTTCATGCGGTTGGGTGGAAGCAACTCCTCCCACTTGTTGGCCTGAGCGAGGCGATTGGAGGTTGCAGGAAGTGTTGGCTTAGGACAATCTAGGCTTGAGGGGGTTTGGGGTGTAGAGTTCGTGGGGCTTTGGAGGTGTTTGCGTTGATGCTCTCAACCCTGACAGCCACCAGCCACCACATGTCCATTGCAAAATCATTACCTGAGAGTTCTTACGGTGAAAAGCCGGATCGAAGTGGGTGGGCCCAGCCTGCACGCTGTACCGCCAGAGGTCGTTCTCGGCCCCATTCCCTGGCGAAAACGTCGCAGAGCACATTGACACCCGTAAACTTTGTAGAACTTCACGGCTCTAGCCTCAAAATCTGACATGTCACGATTTAACATGGTGAATCCCCAGCCCACGCAAAATGCACACCCAAACTGCAAGTGCCACTTTGTTTCCATACCTGGTATGACGCTGCTGTGGCGCGGTGCAGTGGCTCCGACTCTAGCCAGAAGTCCTTCTCAGCTGCGCGTACTGATTGGGCCAGTTTGACATTTTTGCTGCGCGGCGCTTCCCGTTGCTTAACTCGGTCCATGGACTCGTCGTGGGAAGCCTCAGCCTCAATGCTGCCAATCCTGATCGCGACTCTGACGCCGGTGGCGTCTTTTTTCGCAATCGGTTTGTCCACACAAGTAGGAGGTTGTACAAAACGGTCGGGGAAATTGTGCTTTGAAGACAT